GGACTTTGAACCCTGCCAGGCCTCATGCTGAAGATAATGCTGCCGAAGCTGCAGCCCGCGATCTGTTAATCCTTCAAGCGACAGCGCGCAACTTTTGCCGACAACCATTGAAGGAAGACTGAGAACACTGGTTCTTGTGTCAACCCTCTCCATCTCGAACTAATGTCCTTAAACGATATGCAACGTTTTTTCTGAACGCCGACAACCATTGAAGGAAGACTGAGAACACTGTGTTCTTGTGCCAACCCTATTCGTCCCGAACTAATGTCCCTAAACGGTATGCAACTTTTCTCTAGCTAATGTGTCAACTCAGTTTACAACTGTGCATATATTCCGTTTGTATTGTACCTTTGAAGTCAGGTTTTTTCACTTAAAACAAACTCCCTATCTCGCCCAGTATTGACAAAACACAATGTTTTTCACTTGAAACAAACTCCCTATCTTGCCCAGTATTGACAAAACACAAACGGAAACAAAACCAACACTGGCTGCAAAAGAGGGAGTTTGTTTTAGGTTTTTCCTGTTTTCGAGGTTTTGGAAGGCGCCCAATCAAAACAAATACTGTCTGCAACATAGAGAGTTTGTTTTAGGTTTTTTCCTGTCTTCGGGGGTTTGGAAGGCGCTTAAGAGGTGCTTTACCAACTCTTTAAAATTGCCTGTACACTGGCATAATGAACATATATATATAATTGCAAAACAGGGAGCTTGAGTTCGCAGTGAAGAATGGCCGGTATCCTTCTCTCATATGAAGTGTGTAGCAAAAAAAACAGCAAACGGATTAGGTCAATGAGCTGAACAATTGAAGTCCCTGTAGAACTGCTAGATTGATATTTTGTGACGAGATTTCTGCATGGTTGTCGGTGACGGCAATCTGACCTTTCTAATTTGCTGACCTATCTTGAGGTCTGGACCAGTCATTTAGGAGAGGACTTTGCAGTAGATCTAGTGTTCATTGACTTCCGCCAAGCTTTTTATTGCGAGTCCACCAATGCCTTTTGCCTTTTTGGCTTCCAGGAAGTCTCTGAACTGGATCAGCACGTTTAAGGTCCATCGAAAACAACGTGTTTTATCAGAAAGGATTAATCGGACTGAATAAACATGGTTATTGATGTTCTTCGGGGCTCTGTTCTCAGCCCTTTAGCATTCATCATTTATGTTCATAACAGCCTTCAGAGACTACACTGCAGTAAGATCAGGATGGCCGATAATGCTAACGTTTGGCAAGTAATTGAGAATCCGAGCGACCGGGAGGCTCTGCAAAATGATCTGTGTGGACAGAGAACGTGTGTCGTCCTATCCCTTTGTTCAAAAAACTATTCTTCAACTAGCGGCACAGGATATATTTTACCTGAACATTCCCAGATAATCGTCATAAAAGGACTTTTCTATATGGATACAGAGCAAATCGAGGCCGTCGAGGTGATCTTACGAGACGAAACACGGCGGGAATTCCGTAATACATATATGGTCTGACTAAAACTTTGAAAACCAGCTTGTGAGATCTTTCTGACAATATTAACATCATGGTCGTCTGAATGCCAAAATCGCTGGATGTCTACACATTTTTAGTGCAGTGCCCTTAAAAAACTGATGTTTTGAAATAATTTTCGGATGACGCCGGTTTTAGTACCAGGCAACTGGAGCGTGGCAAATGGCCGTGGAGCGCTATCGGACGTTATTTCCTGCATCTACAAGCTGTGGAGCGGTCACATTCCTGCCTTGATGGTCGTGTACGCCTAGACTGTGTCAATTGTGTTTGTGTCCTTCTGGTTTCAGCATATTCAGGCCACCGTCGCGGACTACGCCTTAAAGACGCAGAAGACACAGCTTTTCTGCAAGACGTCAGTGAAATATTACAGCATTATGACGAAGTTTTCGCGTCGGATGCATCTTCCTCGGCCAGCTCACCAAGCTCAATTTCCTTATCAAATGGATCTGAATGGGAATCCAAAATGTAGTCAGAAGACAATGAAGCCTGTTGGGGACCTGGTGCTGTGGTTTCTGACAAGGAAACTGGTGTACCTTCAAGTTTAACTCCAATGGAAGAGGAGTTGAGTGTGCTGGAAGCCCTTCGTTCGCTGGCAGTAAACTCTCACATACCTCATGTTCACCTGAATAGCCTTTTGAAGATCTTGAGGCGTGTGTGTCCTGACCTTCTTGTTGATGCGCGAAGGTTTCTGTTGGGAGAAGATAACGCAACGGAGATTATGGTATTGGACAGTGGATAAAACGCGCACCTAGAACTTGTGAGGCAGTTAAAGGAGCAGGTATGTCGCACTTCCATGTTTTTAGGGCACTCAGATAGTTACTTACATAGCTGCTGATGGCCTTCCTATACATAAGAAAACTACTCGTCATTTTTAACCATTATATGGTCACATTATGGAGCCATTTATTAGCGATATCTTTGTCGTAGGCATATATTGCGGTCGCGACAAGCCGTCGGATGTGCATTCTTTTGTAGGCCACTGGTCGATGAGATTCTGTCTTTGGGTAGAAATGGGTTGCGTGTCGATACAATCGACAGGCAGTTCGACTTTCGCCTGGCAGCCATCATTTGTGATGCTCCAGTCTGGACCTTTATAAAGCAAGTCAAGAACATTAGTGCCATTTATGGATTTGACTGATGTTGGATTAAGGGTTCTTATGAAAGATAATACCATAAGACTTATTATAATAGCGTAGACGATCTTATGTGGCGCGATAAAGATTTCTATAGCATGAATGACGACCGCCATAGGATTGGCACGTCCCCGCTCCTGGCATGTAATATAGGAATGGTATGTTGCTCTCCTTTAGACCCTTAACATTTAGTGTACCTAGTCATTATGCGTAGATTGCTAAATTTGTAGCGGAGGAGTCTAGGGGGTGTCGTTTAAGCTATTAGATGAAGCCGTTGTAACATTAAATGATAGGTTGAAGGCCATTAATCCGTACCTAACACACTAGTTTTCACAGCGTGTCAGGTCATTATCAGGTCTAGACAAATGGAAGGGGACTGAACTGCAATATTTCCTGCTTAACGCAGGAGTAGTAGTTCTTAGAGGTATGCTTCCAAAGAAATATTGGAAGTATTATCTTTTGTTATTTGCAGCTATACGTTGCTAAGTCCGCCCACAGTCATGTAAACAGAGGGTGCCATTCAATAGGTGGCTGCTACTAATGTTCGTTGAGAAGTATGCAAAGTTGTATGGTAAGAGTGGGGTGGTGTACAATGTTCACAGCATTGTTCGCCTAGCTGAAGATGTTGAACGACATGGTCCTTTATACAGTTTTTCTTCCTTTCCCTGTGAAATTTACTTAGGTGAAATGAAACCTACATATAGTGAGGAAACCGTCGCAACTACAGCAGCAAGTAATGCGTCGGTATGGCGAGCTGCAGAGCCAGCGGTGCCCATTAGGAAATCCACCACACTGGACTGTCAACTATGAGCACCGTAACAGTCCACTACAACTAAGTGGTGGGTCGTTTACGCAGTTTAAGTAAATCCTCAAGCACAGACTTTTAATCGGCACTACACCATCTGAAGGCTCCGGAGTTGTTGACGTAGCTTATTACAGACTGCTGTGGTGCTTACTGAAAAAATGGCGGTATCTAACTGTGCGTGCCACAGACGGAAATACAAAAACATCTCGATGACTGAAGAGCCGAAAGTGGTCGAGTTGCCTTACGGATCTGAAAGGCTTAATGGTACGGCCTCTTAAAAGTTCAAACAGTAAAAATAGTCCCTTCTGTAATCTGCGGAGCCAAAAGGGATCGAGATTAATAGGATCACAACGTTGTTGGTAGGATAAGTTACGGTGTTCTGAAGGGAGAACTATTCCAGTGATGAAATCCTGGACCGATTCCAGTTTCTTCTGGTCACTAGCCCACAGAAGACTAAATAGGGGGAGCAGTATACGAGACTAGGTCTCTCCTATATATTATGAAGGTAAGTCCTAAGCTTGATGGTCTTAAAATGTCGAAGAATAAATGCGGTAGTTCGGCGTGCTTTACCTCAATAAACAGTCAGGGTACAGTGCTCTGACAGATTGAGTCCATTAGACTAGGAAATTCTCAGATCCTTACTAGCTCCGGGTACGTTTATTTCGTGGCCATCTATACTTAGTTCAGGCCGATGATTGTCCCCAACAAGCATAAGGGAACATTTGTGCCAAGAAAGGATAGCCACCGTGTGCAGCACCGCTGGGCAAATTCCTGAAGATTTTTTATGAGCTCGAACACGATGTTGCGATCTGCCGATTAGTATTTCTAGACGACTTTTGAATTGTTAGCATACATAAAGGGTCACTTAAGTCACTTTAATGAAGCAAGAAGGCTTTCGACCTTGAGCTCCCTATTCGTATCCAAAAATTGCAAATTAATATAAGTTCATAATACAAATGTAGTCTTATAATCAGCGATCGGCGTGAGCCAGTTGCAAACTGCTACTACTGACACGATGTTCATTATATATGTCACAGTTTCTCAGAAAATGAGAATTAAGCTTGCGTTTAAAGGTGTTAACAGTATGTGAGAGCATACTGAAAGGATAATAGGGCAATTAGGAAAATCGATGACGCAAAGGCAAAATAAGCGTTGGCTTAGTACCCTACCCTGAATAATTCCACTCCTCACATGTGGGGTGTTGGAGATGACATTGGAAATTTTAAGTCGTTGTGTACGAGCATCCACATAGGAAGATATTGAATTCACAAGCTTGTAATCTATACCGGAAGAGGCAATTTTCAGGAGGAGGAGGAAGAGGATGAGGAGATTATGGTCAACACAATCAAAGCCCTTATAAAACTCAAAATTGGTTGTATGAAGGGCAAAACCGCTGTCTCTGGGTTGTACCACATAATCAAAGAAAGGGAGCTGACAGGTGCCACAAGATCCTTTTTTCGAGGAACCCATACTGAGCCGCATTAAGGAAGTTGCTCTCTGTCAAATGATGCATCATCTTTTCTTTAGTGAAAGTCTTCATGATCTTTGAGGCTGTGGGAAGTGCATTTATTGGCCTCAATCGTCAAAAGACATCGACCGGCCGTGCTTGGGTATGGTAATATGTGGTAATCCTTCCATAACATAGGAAAGGTTTCGCTTTCAAGAGCAAGATTAAATATCTTACACAGAATAAACGGAAATAAATTATTCGTTTTACCTTTAGAAGGCTGACAGGAATACCATCTGGTCCTGGACTATGCGGTTGACGACAACAACGAATGGCTACAGCCACGTCTCAGCGGGTAAATCTTATGGTTTCGGGGACGGCATTCGTCCAAGCCTGGATGGTCGGAAGTGCAGCGACCGAGTTTTCACTATTTGTTCCGGATACGAACGCACTGAAGCTATCAGTGATCAACTGAGCGTCAACTATGGGATTTCCTAATACTTCTTGAAGTATGGGGCGCCGCGCTTTTCTCTGCGCTTTGACTGAGCGCGAAAAGAGTTTTGCAACATTTAGCGAGGGGTTTTCAGCAAAGTTGACCTCATTGGCTAACTGTTTTTCCTTGGAGAGCTTCTTAGCCAGCTCAAAGATCAGTTTAATCAAGGGCAGAACGGAAGTGTCCTTCTGTTGCTGCAAAGGACGTGAGAGTCTGCGCAGCCTACGGCGGAAAAACAGGGAGGTACACTTCATAAATAATAAATAAATTGTATATTTAAGGCCCTAGGGGCCCTTTCATTACAAACTTA